AATATTTCGCTTTTTAAATTATTTAAAGTACACACTTTTTTAAGTTTCAAGGAACAACAGTTTTGCAATGAAAGGACTGTAGAACAGTGCAGAGAGTGTTTTGGTCACCTGCACAAAAAAACAAATAAGAAAATTATATATGCGTTGAAATGTTCATACATTTATTTGCTGTACTTTGTGAGCAAGAATTAAAAAACTAAGTTTTTACACGTTTGGAAAAACAAGGGTATTCTCACATTGCATAGTGCTCTAACCTTGTCCTTCCTCCTTGAGCGATGTGGCCTATTTTCAACATCAAACTGTGTGCAAGAACTATCAATGTTTCTGCCAAATTTGAAGTCGATGGCTTCGTTTTTTTCTGCCAGGAGAATGTCTACAGCAGAAATTACACAGGCTAACAGATGGACCACCTCACAGATGGGCACACGGACATGCTTAAGTCGATTCATAATTTGACGCTGATCAAGAGTATATCTACTTCGCTAGCTCTCTGAACCTTGCTTCTGGGCATTGCAAATGTTTTGACAAAATGAATATACCCCGCATCCTTCGGGATTGGGTATAATAAAAAGGTGTTGGAATATGTATTTTTAAAAAATTTAGATTACTTTAACCTATTTCCCCGCGTCCTACGTCATAAAACGTTAACTTGGTCTTTGCCTTTACTGCGATCGAAAGTATGTTCATCGATATTATAGCGTTTTCAGAATATGACTAGATGCCATAACTTATACAAATATAAAATTTGTACTGACATATGTATCGTATTACACTAATGATTTCCTCTTGGCTTTTAAGATTATTTAGAAACATCAGGAATAAGGTAGCAACTGTTTAGGTAACATTATTTACTTCCTTAATTTGCAATTCCACTTGTCTAAAAATTATCTTGAATTTATTGGCCATCGTATTACTTAATGGTTAGGACGTCCAATACCCTGTCGGAAGACTCGGGTTCAATTCCTACCACGACAAACAACAAGGTCGTACTTTTTTACATATGTGCTGTAGTACAAAGAAGAGAAACAAAAGATGAAAATAATACTACGGACATTAGCCATAGGGAAGTATCACGTTCGTATAGTTGAACTTTTTTTTAATTACGAAAATGAAAAAAATGAAATGAAAATTTTTGTAACTAAAAAAATTAAATTTCAAAAATTCGTTATAAGAAATATATTACTCGTTTTAGCTGTGCATAACATCATCACATTTTCTATATTACATACAATACATTTCTTACAAAGATCTATTATTGAGATTAGAAATCTTCTCTATCATACTTAATTTTCCCAGCATGATTTTTCCACTGCAAATGCAACAAAAGTTTGACAAAATCATTTAGTGATTAGATCAGTGTAATCTTCCTCTTTTTCTCTTTGTGCGCACTAGTTTCAAAAGAAACGTACTATAAAGTTCTACTCATTTCGAGAAGGGTCTTTGATGATCATCACTTCAAACCATTGTCTAAAAATTAAAATTGAACTATAGTGTCTGCAACCTTTTTGTGAATGTTACCAGCCGAGGAACAAATGTTATTTGTCAATAGTGGACATAGAGTTCCGAATGGTGATAGGAAAGTTTAAATTAAAATACTAATGTAATAAAAAGACAAAAAGGCACAAAACTATCGCGTTCTGAAATATGAAAAATATCAACAGAATGATTTTAAAACTTTTTCTTTTTTTTTTTTTGTAAATAAATGACATGACAAGATATTATACCTGACTGGGAGCAACCCAAAATCGAAGAGAAAATTCTAAAATATATTTATGTTAATGCAATAAACTATTCTCATCACATAGCAGTAACATAACTTCCCCGCCGGTATTTTGTTATTTTGTGGGTTATAAACGCAAAAGTAGTGTATGTATGTGTGTGGGGTATACTCGCTAAGAAGAAAGGTTTACGTTACCTTAACCAAAACCATGAACTACTTTTGTTAGACGAATTTCACAACGAATCGCACGATTCAAACACGTTTCCATTTTCAAAAGAATTAAAATTATCCAACGGATTCTGATAGCATTACTCATCAAATTATGTATGTAACCATTATTAATAGCCTAAGACAAAAAGCAGTTTTTGATGCCAAACCAGCGAAAATATTGAAAAATTTTAAAATTAAAGAAGTATTCAAATTTTTTTTTTAGCATTAGTGCTACAAAATTTTGAGATATCCAAAGAATAATAAAAATTTAGAAATAAAGTTAAATATTGACTACTGCCTTGCGAAATATCGACGCACAACATCTTCTGTGGGAAATCTGTCATCTGTGCATCAAATCTTACTTACGGAATTGTAAGTTTAGTCTGTAGTTTAGTTTATTAACAAATAATAATAAACAATTAAAGCAATTGTAAGTAACAAGTAAGAAAATTAAATTCGGTTAGGATCGAATCTTTTATACCCACCACCGTTACCCTAAAAAGACAAAAGTAAAAGAGCAAAATTTTAATGCTCGATAATGTGGAATGGGCGCAGCTTATTTCTTCTATTTTCAAAATAAAAGTTGTTATGGTATAGGCATGTGGTCGTTTTAGGGGCGTCCTTTGAACAGCTTTGGCCAATTCCAAATTCTTTTGCATATTTGTAGGCAATATCTTCATTTTTGCTAACGGGTGAATGTTTATCACAAATACTCCAAAGTTGCGCAAACTGACAGATGGACAGACAAACAGGCGAATGTGTTTATTTGAAACTGGCAAAAAATTTTTACACTTTATGGGGTTTTTGAAGCTTGTTGCTGCGCGTTATAAAGCTATTTAAAAAATAATTAAATTTTAATACGTTATAACATAGGGTAGGCGTGGTCAATTTTTTCCATTTTTGTGCACCAATGCTACGGCATCGTCCCTAGAATATGCGTTCAAATTTTTGTACATTTATTTGCTGTAGTTCTTGAGCAATGGGCAATAAAACAATTTTTTATTCCTTTTGAAAAACAGAGATATTCTCAGTTTACGTGGCGGTGTGGGCGTGTCCTTTGACCAATCTGGCGTGCAAGAACTTCCAATGTTTCTGCCAAATTTGAAGTCGATAGCTTCGTTTTTGCGGCAAGGAGAATATTTACAACGAAGAGTACACAGATCGGTTTAAAATTATATGCTGATCAAGAATGTATGTATTTTGTGGGGTCTCTGAAGCTTTCCCCCTCATCCTTCGGGGTTTGGGTATAAGGATGGAAAATATTTCTGACTTTATCTTTATATCTTCTTTCCCCCCTCTCTCTCTCTCTCTCCCTCTCTTTCAGATTCTTACAAGATTTTTAAACAAAATTAATTTATCTAATTAACCTTATACAGCTTCCGCATAATATTGAATTTGTGCGAATTATGCAGTATGTAGTCTTATTATAAAAATTTTTATACGAAAATGTAGGAAAATCGCCTTGTAAAAAATGTCTTCACATGAGAGTAACTTAGGAAGCTGCTTCTAAATTTTAAATTTACTCTAAGAACTAATAATAATTTCTACACTTATGCCATGTGCGCGCATTAGAATAAAACGGCCAACACAAAATGAAACGAGCGATTTATCTAGGACAGTTAGAACTAAAACAAAAGAATAGTAGAATTGTGCGATTTTCTATTGAAAAATAAAAACCAAACGTAAAAAAATAGAATAGGGACCAAAACAACAAACTAACTGTTTATGAATATACAAAGTATAACAAGAGAATTTATT